GTGATTGATATAAGATATTATTTAGTTGTGCACCTTCTAGAAGAGTACATAGCTGTCCTAAATGTTCTGAGTTGTCAACCCCTTGTTTCCCCTTTGTTGATTGTAAAACTTTGATAGCTTGACTAACTCAATCAGTTTTGACAATATGTCTGCTTTCTGTGTTGAGATGTGATGGTTTATAGTCATGTCAGGTTTAACCTAATATAAAGCTTGGTAAAGAGCTTCCTCACAACACTTCTACGCAACTGTCAGCTGAATTTGAATAAAAGTGTTTCTGAACTGTATAAACTCCACTGATACACATTTTATGGCCTTTACTGCTTGTCCTCCCAATAACTTATTACACCCCCCACCCCCCAACCCCGCAGCGAAGTTAGGGGGTTGGGGGGTTTACTGGAATCAGCGCGTCCATCCGTCTGTAAAAAAAGTTTAATTGGACAACTCCTTCTAAAGAAAAGGACCAATTTAAACAAAACTTTTCAGACATGATAACTACTTCCTGAAATTGTGCATCCGGGTTATTATTTTTTCATTATGACCCAATTTTTAGCGGCTATTCAAATCACTCTGCGTCCTTGGTCCATCGTCCGTCATTCTGTCCATCATCAAAGAATTTTTGTTAGCGCTTTTTCTCAAAAAGCACTGGCTGAATCTGTCTCAGATTTCACATGAAGGTTCCCCATGATCCTTAGTTATGCATATCCTTTTTTGGGACTGATTGCAAAACCAAAATGGCTGACAGGTAGCCATCTTGAATTTGAAAGTTAAAGTTTGGTAGCGCTATTTTTCAGAATGCACTGGATGGATCTTTCTCAGATCTTACATGAAGATTCCCATTTATCCCTAGTTATGCATATCGTTTTATTTCAACGACAGTTTTCAGATATGATAACTTATACCTGATGTTTTGCATCCAGTTTTTTTTATCAATCTGTCCCTTTTTTATGGAGAAATGGCCCTTTGTTGAAAAATACTTGTCTTGACAACTCCTCCAAAACTACTGGGCCAATTTCAACGAACGTTTTCAGATATGATAACTACACCCTGATGTTGTGCATCCAGGTATTCTTTTTCCAATCCAGTTGTACTTTTTCATTTTTTTCATTTTTTCAGTAAAAATCTTTGTCCTGACATCTCTTCCTTAGCTACTACAGCGATTTCAGCAAAACTCGTTCATCTGGGCTAACAAGACATGGTTTGCAAGTATGTTTTGCCATTGGGAGGGAGTACAGAAAGTATGTCAGTGAGCTATATACTTAAATAAGTATACAGCTCAGACAATTTTTTTTTTTATTAATGGTGGGAAACTAAGGATTGCTTTGCAATGCTTTGCCTCAGTAAGCCTTAGGCTTACAGTTCTAGTTCCTTTTGTCCTTTTCCTTATTTAAACCACTTGTAACTTTCTGAATATACTCAATTTGTTTTACCCACGACCTACTCAATTGGTCATTCCCCTGACCTATTCTATTGGTCATCCCCCTGACCTATTCCATTGGTCATCCTCCTGACCTATTCCATTTGTCATCCCCCTGACCTATTCCATTTGTCCCTTGACCTATTCCATTGGTCATCCTCCTGACCTATTCCATTGGTCATCCCCCAACCTATTCCATTTGTCATCCCCTGACCTATTCCATTTGTCATCCCCCTGACCTATTCCATTTGTCATCCCCTCTGACCTCTTCCATTGGTCATCCCCCGACCTATTCCTTTTGTCATCCCCCCCCGACCTATTCCATTTGTCATTCCCTGACCTATTCTATTTGTCATCCCCCCCCCCCCCCCCCCTTTTTTTTTCCCCCCCCCCCCCCCCCCCTCTCCCCTTTCCTCCCCCCCCCCCCCCCCCCCTCTGACCTATTCCATTTGTCCTCCCCCTGACCTACTCTATTTGTCATCCTCTGACCTATTCAATTTGTCATCCCCTCTGACCTATTCCATTTGTCATCCCCCTGACCTACTCTATTTGTCATCCTCTGACCTATTCCATTTGTCATCCCCTCTGACCTATTCCATTTGTCATCCCCTCTGACCTATTCCATTTGTCATCCCCCTGACCTATTCTATTTTTCATCCCCCTGACCTATTCCATTTGTCCCTATGGTTTATGCTTATTCTATTTCATCAATGTTTAATTGTTCACACGTTTGTTGTAGGTCAGAGGTCACTTAACATTGATGTTTGTATGTTTACAGGTTTATTGTAGGTCAGAGGTCACTAAACATTGATGTTTATATGTTCACAGGTTTGTCGTAGGTCAGAGGTCACTAAACATTGATGTTTGTATGTTCACAGGTTTATTGTAGGTCAGAGGTCACTAAACATTGATGTTTGTAAGTTCACAGGTTT